CACACACACACACACACACACACACACACACACACACACACACAAAAACATCCGTGTAATAATGTAGTAAAAAGGTATTGCTGAACCTCAGCAATACCAGGAAAGGTCAGGAACAACACGCACATTACAGAGACTGTAACAGTTATGGTGAGAGGCGTGACCTCCATTTCACTTTAAAGGCCCCACATGCCCAGTTATTCCTTTGGGCTTGGTGTGCACAGACTGTCCCTTTCTCTACTGTTGCACCTGTTGAGGTAGGAACTATAGCCGTAATTATTTTTATGGGAACACTGATATTTTAACCTCATTTAAATCTCTGCATGACTACATTAGTAATGGCCTCATTTCATGTAGGTGTTACTGTTCTTGCTATTTAGCATGTTGCCTCATTGGCATGGCTAACTGGGTCGTTCAATGGATTGAGCCATCGCATGTCTGCTGAAATGAAGTCAGACATGAAGAGGAGTCAGTAAAGGGAGGAGGGAAGAGGAAATGGCTGGGTGCAGTTTGGAGGGTGGGTGGCAGAGACAGAAAAAGATGGCTGGTTGCTCAGCCAAGTGAATGTGCTGTCGTCTCCCACTCACTGAATGCAGTCACGTCGGGCAGGACTGCAGATTTACAGAGCAGGAGATGTTTGATGACTCCTTTCTTACCGATGTGTGCTGCAAAGTAAATTCGCTAAATGTTATCAGTGGAGCGCTTTGGGAGACTTTACATGGGAAGTTGTTGTTGAACTATGGTTTGGGTGGCTGAGGCACATTCCCACATTAATGTCTCTTCACAAAAAGAAGTACGTTAACATGTACAGTACAGTGCACCACAAATGTATGAGGCCAAGACGTCTCTTGGCATCAAAAGGCCACACCGCCAGCTGAATACCTTCAGGACCAGAGCCGGTGACTGAAAATGTCTCATACTTTTTTATTTACTGACCTGGTGTCAGCACTCTGTGCATGGTTGTAAAATATTGACTACAGGAGGAATGATCCCGTAAAAGTAAAAGTGTGTGCGTCTGTGTGACTGACCAGAGGCGAGTCCTCGTACATGATGATGCCATCTCGGACTGAAGGCTGCAGGGTCAGAGTCTGGACGGTCGTATCTCTGGAGGAGCAATAAAAACAAGCTTGACATTTCATTTCACGTTTATTTGGTTTTTCCAATGTAATGTATCAGAGCATCATAAAGGTCTTCATTGACCCCCAGAGGTGGTTTTGGTCAACATATCTCACACGTCTAAAGGGCACTTGCGTGTCTATCTATGTCGTTTTTTCTTTACCTGAAGACCATTTGATCACCAAAGATGCAGGCCAGTGAAAAAGGGTGTCAGTAACACTGTGCACAAACATAACGTCGAAGCATCTCCCAAACAGCTTTGATTCCCCTGCGGCGTCCAAAATGATCTCACCCTCTTTCTCTGAACACATCTCTCTCTCTTCATCCCGGCCCTCCCTCCCCCGATATCTCACAGTGGGACCCAGGAGCTGTCCTAGTTTCCTTCCTGGTCGGCTGCATCTCTCTTGCTTTTTTGAGCCACATCTCTGTAGGCTTTCGGTCACAGGCTCCCGAAAGCCACATGCACCGATCCTCCTGCTTCTGCCCCGGTCTAATATTAGCTGCTGCTACAGTAGCTAACCAGGCCACATCCATGCCCAGCTCCACGACGACTTTCACTAGACTTTGACAAATTAAACGTACGGGGATCGAGAGGAGAAATTGGTTGTTTCTACATGTGGATGTGCTGCTGATGCTGATGCCTGACCGTAATCTCGTCGAGGAGATTGAACCGATACAGTTCTTCAGGTTTGTACAAAAGATTACATTTATTTGTTTGGTGCCTTTCTCCCATGATCAGGTCATTGACACTCAAAATACTGCCATCTTATTGGTGCCAAGATCAACACACGGCCCACCTCTGCCTCCGATTGATCTACATTCAACAGTAAGGCTGTTTTCACAGCACACAACACATTGATCTACGAATGACCTAATTTATCGGGGGTGCGATCGTGTGAGTATAAAAATAATCAGAAACGAGGACTTCTTGAAATGGTTCCTCTTTAATATGGGCATGTGAAGGATGGCCTAATTTACCGAGGACCAAAATAGTTTTTGATGGGAAGTCTGGCAGGGGAGTAAGCAAAAATGCTGGCTGCTCACATCACTTAAATAGTTTTCTTTGTTCCTCCTATTGGAAAAACAACTTAAAAGAAATTATTTGGTCTTAAAAGCATCCTAATTTACCAACCACAGTAGATACAGTTAGCACTGTTTTAGAAACAGATTCTCAAGTATGTGAACTTTTATTGCACAAAAATAATAAATCCCTCAATTAACAACTGATAACGAACTTGTGAGCTATTCCGCAGCTGTCAGCTGGTGACCCAGACATGAAAAAGTCCACACATGAACATGTGAGCTAGATTCACATGAGCTGTCTGAGAAGAAATCAAATTGAAAAATAACCTATTGTGCTTTTCTGGAGAAAGTTTGAGACGGTGAGCCAGAATGGAAGAAAGTGGGACGAAAGAGAAGCTGAAGAAACTGAGACAGGATTATAAAAGAGAATAAAGACACCACGCTGACCGACACGTCTTCCTGATTCTCCATAAGACTCTCGGTAAAGAGAGAAAGTTCACAAGTTCATGTTTAAAAAAAAAAAGAATCATTTAGTTACCGAGCTAACATGTGACATCCTCTAGTTCCTCAACTAGTGGGAAAGTATGTAAAACAGGTGCTTTCTGCTCACCTGTGGAGCTGTAGGTATTCTCTGGGCCTGTTCAGAAGGTGCAGGAATCGGTCCACTATCTTATTCTTACCGACGCCCTATGGAAAGATAAGAGAGAAAAATACAATTAGCAACCAGCACAATGTAATGAAATCAGCTCACACCAACTGTGTTTCAGTAACATGGGCTGTAGAGATAAAGAGGTGTCTATTCCATGTGCAGAGAGGGAGAGTGGAGTTGTGTCCCTGTTTGATGGTGCTACGTTCTGACAGGGGCTGTTTTCTGGGACTCCCACTGGCTCCCCACAGAGCCTGTCCTCCGTTGGACGGCAGCCGAGTCCTTCGGCCGGTCTGTCAGACGTCCGGTAAGCCGCTCTGACAGCTCCTAATGTCTCAGCTTCGCCCATGCAAATAGCTTTTCCCACTCAAGTCTCTCTCACGTGCGCACGCACACATAAACATCACTGCAGAAAAAACACACTGCCAGTACAACCAAGTCCAATTCCACTCCCCGCTCCTCCTCTCTTCCCCCTTTAATCCCGCACATTAGGGAGTTTGGGGTGCAGAGTGTCCCCCAAGGAGGTGCTACATGCTTCCTCATGCCCCCCAGTGAGCTGCGAGCGGGTGGGTTGTGGAGGGTGACATGAGGGGGCAGGGAGCTTGTTTCATAACTCTTCCCTGCGCGCTCAAACAGGGCTGACATGTGTGGCCTCCTCCACCGAGACACTGAGAAAATTAGATAAAGCCCCTTCTGCAAGCACAAGTCCAAGCTCTGTTCATTTAGCATGACACCAACGTCATAAATCATAATTGGACCTCCATGGATAAAGGCTCCTGAGGGCCAGTCTAAACAGGGCTCTTTCCTGGGGGGGGGGGGGCATTGCGACTTTTAAGTACCAGTAATTTGCACTTAAGCACTACAATACGTCACTCACCTGGTTGCCCACCAAGAGGAGGTGCTCTCCTAAAAGGAAGTCCTTCAACATGTCTTCCATCACCATCATGTGCTGCAGAGAGATTTAAACAGCGAAACGGATAAGACATTACTTTTATTGACTTGATTGGACCCAGAATCGCATTTCACACATTATGAAGAGAGTTCTGTTGTCCCCGTTTGAAGATAAAATTAATCTTAAAACCACATGAGCTTGGGTAGAAAATGTGGAGGTTTGCTTTCCCTCCCTTCTGCTCCCTGTGACTTTACATCCTTCTGCTCTGAAGACAGAAAACAGGTCATTTTTTTTAAAAAGTAGGACATCCTCGTTGCTCTCATCTTATCTCAGCCACTTTTATTTCAGTCTCCAACACAAGCAGAAAAAAAGAATCAGGACAGAGAGAAATCTGGGTCACATTGCGCCATCAGTGTTGCCAGAGGATGTCAGAGTGTCATTTCTTTAGATCAGGGGTCGGCAAACTTTTTTTGATATTAAGTGCCATTTCAAAATGTTCTTGTTCATCGGTGTACCATGAAGGTTAACATTAAGTTTAATTTAGACACCACGGCAAAGTTTAAATCTCTATTCCATCCATATAGACAATGTGCTGAGCGAGATTTAAAAAATAAAACACCTTTCTCCCGTAATAAGGGCATTGTGATTATATACGAGTGCACTATGTAAGAAGCAAGCGTACTTCAGCATTGAACGTGTACAGTGACAAAAGAATAACTTGGAGTTCTGCCCGTTTTCACACCTGCAGTACGCACACTTGGACATTCACTGCATAAAGTGGGAGGTGACTGTCGTATTTTTGGAGTCTGAAAGATACAAAAACTGGCAAACCTCAACCTACCCGACTCCTCACTGCTTCCATCCTGAACAGCCTTCTGTTTATCTCTAAACAGCATGACGTCTGTATCTATCTCTTTATAGATTTAAGGTATGAACTGATTTTGCATTACTTTTCCTCTTTGTTGTAACGATCACAACTAAAACCTGTTTTCCTGCCGCACACAGAGATGTACAGAGGAGAATAAAAGTCAGATTGCTTTCTTATCCAATAAAATCCATCAATAACGTTGCAGAGTACCGGGCCAGGACTGAGATTAGCATCTCTGTGCATCTGGAAAAAAGAGCCAAGAGGCAACTACGAAGTGCATGGCCCTGGAAAATATCAGCTAATACCAAAACTAAAAGTAAAATCCTTCATAATGAAATAATGTCGCACACTGCAACAAGGACAGAGTCATATTAAAAACAACAAGAATGAGACTAAAGGGGAAAAGATCAGAGGTGGTGGATGACCTCACTGAACCATGAATGAACGCTGCTATGAATATTGTGTGGTAAAGAATACACAGTATATACATTAGCATACGCCGTTGTGTGAGTTAGTGCGTATTTACCTGGGGATTATCATAGAAGAGCACATCTGGAATCTTCATTTTCTCAGTGGCGCTGTAGACGGGAGCAGACACACTGCCAATAGTCAACACACCATCCTTTGTCGAATCTGGGGAAATACAGGAGATGCAGTCAGTGTGTGTGTGTGTGTGTGTGTGTGAGACTCCACGAGAACTCAGAAGCTTCTTCAATCACATTTGCTGATGGAGGCGATTGTTTCTTAAAGCCCTGACCCACATTTTGACTTGCAGTCTGGAGACTCTGGCTTGCTCCTTTGTCTTCTGGACTTATGAGTTCCCACTTCAAAATCTAGGCCTCTGACACATCATCATTTTTAAATGTTGATACTAAATGGTGGTGGTGCGCCTCATTATTACACTATGTCACTTACACAGGAAGCAACATCTCTGACAGTGTCACAGATCTGCTAATTACACTGCAAAAACTCTATTTACTCTAAGAAATGTATTAGAAACCCTGAGTAGTTAAACATGCATTTGATCTCGACAGCTGACTGGGACTTACAGCTGAAGTCTCGGGTGTGTTCAGCTGGATCTGGTGTGTCCTGTAAGGAGCAGTTGGCGAGGCTTTTATCAAGAGAGGCACGGGCCAGGCTGGGCAGGAACCTAAGACACACATGCACACACTTCATCACTAGTGCACACAATCATATAGTATTGATTTGAAAGTGCATCACAACCCAGAAAAACACTTTTGATTTTGAGCGTGTGTATTTGTGTGTACCTGGAAAGACAGGCCTTATTGACAGCGTGAGCGATGCTCTCCTCGGGGTACTGAGAGAGACGGCGACAGATCCTCAGCAGCTGTCTGGTGGAGAGAGAAGAGGCCAGAGACTGCGCCTGGACACACACACACACACACACACACACACACACACACACACACACCATACATAAATAAATTACTCAGAAAACACGCATGTAAACAAACCGGTAAGTGCATGCAAACACACCCTTGCACTTACTGTAGGGTCATTTGTCTTGCGGAGACTGTGTGTGAGGTGTAGGAGCTGCTCGGCTGCTTCCTTTGGAACGTCACGGGTCTAAAGGAAAAAAAGAGATGAGAAGGACGGATGAAGAGGATGGTGTTTAGATGAGGAGAGAAGTGGATCTAGAGAAATACTTCACCCATAAAATGTACATTTGCATATCAATTACTAAAACCCACTAAAAATCCTTCAGACTTGTCCGTGTGTGAGAGTTTGTAAACGGGTGTTTTGATACAGTTTTGCCCAAAACTGCTTTTTCCCTGTTGATACATACACTCCTTTTCCTTTGCCAGTTTATTAGGTACACCCATCTCAAACTAATGCAGTTGAATCCAACAGTCTTGCTTTGTAATGGCAACGTTCAACCCCCTCTTTCTCCGTGTCTCTCTGTGAAGTCATACGATCAAATAAAAGACAACCACTCCAGAACAAATCAACATCACAGCCTGAAGATGACAGAAACACAGATAAATAAACTTTATGTTTGAGACACATTCATTTTCAAATCAAAAATACTTCTACACAACAACTAACTGAATGGCATCAAGACACCTGAGGCCGGCTTACACATCAGGTGAACCAAACCACGCAACATCCCAGCGAATAGCCAAACAAGGTCCGTACTTCACTTTGTGCGCGTGGCCAACGAGTTGTTTAACATAACACCTTACGGTGTCGCTGCCAAGTCTCAATTTATTTGGAAAAAAAAATTTCCTGTTGCTGAGCTCCACGAAAGGCCAATAATGAAATGTCACATCCGTTTACCAACTCCGTTTGTTTAGCATCAAGTCCCGGCTGAATATAAATACCACTGTCCTGTAATAGCCCCTCACTGTTGGCCAGTCTCCCTTCCCTCTGACTAGTTAATCACACATCCAGAATAGAGACGCGTTTCATGTCTCTGGCAAAACAATTTGCTGCTGTTCAAAAGCTCGGAGGCAAGAAATAGAAGATGACATAATTAATAAATAACAGTTATCAAAGACATGTCTAGCAGCTGCTGAAAGACGCTTCTTATTACTAAACTCCCTCTCTTTGTTCTTGTTAATCAGTGAGCCACATCAACATTAAGTTTAATTATGACACCACATCAAAATGTAAATCTCCAACGGCTATGTAAATGTATATTCCATCCATGTAGGCAACATGCATAGCATAACATTTAAATAACATGCTTTGTCCCATAATCAGGACATTGTAATTATTTAACCGAGCATGATACAAGAGGGCTGCCACCCTTGTTAAAACATCCACATGTTGTTGCAATCATTAACCCTACCAACTGTCCACCAATCCTGTTTATCGGTAATAAAATAAATTCTGCAAAGAAGGAAACAAGTACTTGTGTGTGTCTCACCAGCCCCTGTATGAGGTCCATCTCCTCTGCTCTGGCCATAGGGCTGACCGTGTGGTAGAGGAACATAGTGAGCAGCTCCGGACCCAGCCACTGCTGCGGACCTCTGCTGCTGCTCGTACTGGCACCCACAACGGGGGGCTCCGCCAGAGCCAGCACCCTGAAGGATGGATGGATGGGGAAGATCAACCTGCGGATACACACGTCGTTACCGTCGCTGTATGCGTGCATGGAAAGACATCTCATACATGAAGTACTTATTGGGCACTTTACTCCACTGTCATTCCATACGTTACAAAATAAAAGAGGAGTTTGGGTTTTGTTTGGGTCTCTAGTTCACACACTCACTTCCTCCGTCCCTGTCTCGCTCCGTCTATTCAGTTTAAACATGAATAACACGTTATGGACACGATCCATAACGTTTCATCTACTGCCTGAAACAGGAAATACTGTTACGGGCCGGAGTGATCAGAATCTCAGCAAGAGCTGGACAATGCATCGGAGCGAGCGGACATGTTCAGAAATCCATATTTTCATATGTAGATGCATATTATGTACACACACACACACACACACACACACACACACACACACACACACACA